GGCAAGTCACATTAGTGCTGTCCCAGTTCCATAGACAGCCCTCTCACGGGCAGCTTTCTGTCCGTAAGGAACCAGTGTGAGGAGCGAGTAAAGGCCACGAGAAACACTATTCTGAAGTCACTGGGACTCTAGAACTAGAGCTGTCACAGCAGGTCTTTCATTCTGCATCGGTGGATAAAAAAGTCCTTGTGTGTGCAGGATTTCTGTAACGTGGTTTGTCCCCTCTCCTGCCCCTCTCACCCACAGCTCGAACCTGCCCCCCTAACCAGTTCTCCTGCGCCAGTGGCCGCTGCATCCCCAACTCCTGGACCTGCGACCTGGACGATGACTGCGGGGACCGCTCGGACGAGCCCGCCAGCTGCGGTGGGGCGGTTTTTTCCTCCTCCTTTCCATGAACACCTGGGGAGTCTGGGGTGTTCTTAGAGGATCAGAGTATTCCAGGTCTCCCACGTTTGAGCCTGGGTGTTGTCATTAGCTGTGTATTAGTGTATTCCGCTGGGGGCAGGGCTGGGATCAGCTAGTTGGGGCTCTCTCGGCTCTGAGTGGAACAGGGACCCCCAACTTTCAGGGCTTCAGGATTACAGTCCTTTCCGTGAGCTGAGATTTAAGGCCCGTATTTGCTTTTCCAGATGGGGTGGGTATGAGATGATTAATTATTGGCGGTTGTAATTTTTAAACAAAGAGGAGCTTCCTTGCCAAATCTGCTGCCGTGTTTTATTGATCTGAGAACGTGTAGCAGATCTGTGGCACTCTGTGTAAAGCAGTGCCTGTTTTCAATCCTGACTGCAGTCTTCACTTCGGCTTGTGTCCCACAGTCCTTGTCTCATCACGATACTGTCGGATTGCCTGCTGGCCTTTTAAACAGGCCTGGCGCAGACTCTGCAGTATCTGGATCAGACACGAGGATTAGCAAACACTGCAGAAGTCAAAGAGACTTCAGCAGAAGTTGAGACTAGGCAAACGCCTGGCAGATGGCATTTAGAGTAGTGCTGCATTCAGGTGGAAGAAATTAAAGCTAGAATTTTAAGATGTAATACACAAGTAATTGGTGACGTACCATTTTCATCTTCATCTAGACCATGTGGGCAAATAACAGAAAAAGTACTACTACTAACGAGTAGTTATGATGTATAGGTAAAAATTTAGAAATCCAATCAAAAGATGAGATGTTATCATTGTACAATGACCAGGTACAACTTCTGTTGGAATATTGTGCACAATTTTGGTCACTACCCTACAAAAAAATATCATGCTGCTCTGTAATCTGTCCAGGGAGGAGACACCAGATGTGCTTCTTTATTTTTAAAGGAATGTCTATCTCTGACAGGCTCAAATAACTGAATCTGTTTAGTGTTGCGCAGGACAAGATTCAGGTATTTACAATACTCGAAGGCCTTGAAATATCAACCCAGTGGCCTTCTTGAGTGCCAGCAGGGAAACTTGAATCAGAGGGCACATGTGGAAACTATGGGGAAGTGTGTTCACCAGAAAAAACTTGGTTAAAGATTTGGGAGAGTCTAGAACAGGCTGCCCTTGAGCCGTTGCTCAATGAATTGAGTGTGATAGTTTCCTCATGGTAATGTCTCATCGGCATGGAGTCGGTGGCCTAGAGCGAACTTTTATTAAAAAACAGGGCAGGCAGCTAAAAGCCTCTAGGGGCGCTGGGATGCAAAACCCAAAACGGGGACTGTCTGAGATCCGTCTAAGATCGGGGTGGTTAGTAGGCTTTTGCGATGTTACACAGTGAAAGAAACCCTCCCTTCTCTCCACAGCCTACCCCACCTGCTTCCCCCTCACCCAGTTCACCTGCAACAATGGCCGCTGTATCAACATTAACTGGCGCTGTGATAATGGTAAGTGCCCCCTGCCCTCCAGTCTCCTGCTTTCCTCTCCTGCTTCCGTCTTTGTGTTCTCTGTTCCCCAGCGCTCGCAAACCGTCATCAGGAGCAGAAATGAATAAAGGGCAGCTATCCCATCTCCTCCCAGGCTCCTCAGCTCTATTCCTCCAGGGGAACAGTCTCGATGGCCTGGCAGATCTCTGTTAAAGCATCAGCAGCACAAGAATTTCAGCCACTTTATGGGGCTGCTGTAGCTTAAGAAGACTGCCAGAACCTGCTGGACTGGACAAGGAATGGATCTGAGGAGCCCTGATTTAAACTGACCTGACTCTGTTTTTTGGTTCGTTTTGATCAGTATGCCTGTGTATTGTACAGTCGGTAACGTCGCTCGGCTTCAGCTGTTGCCCCTGACCTGAGATAGACACTTATCTCTTTCTCTGCCCTGAAGTCCTGCACACTATATCTTGTGCTGAGCTGCCAGAGAGGCACCATTTGCGCAGAGTGAGGTCTCCAGGAAAAACAACAAATTGTTCTTCATTTGCTCCATTGCACAAAGTCATAATCACTAGAAGAAAAGCAATATCCCTCCCCCCATGACAGAACAGAAGCATTTGCTGATTTTATAGATTTTGTTTTCCTTGTTACACGCAGGACAAAAGATCTATAAAAGCAGTAAGTAGTAATGCCTCGATTAGGGTTTTGTCTTCAACTTTAATGATCCAAAGTTCAGAATTGATGTTTCTCCCTGCTGCCTGGCTGTGTAAGCAGGTGTGATTGTGTCAGCTCTTTGCCCAAACACCTCCGATTGAACGAAGTTAAAAAATAATTGAAGATGTTTTTGGTACCTCTGTTTCTCATTTTACATTTCATTTTAAAGCATGCCTTCCGGCTGACTTGTTCTTTTCTGGCCCTGATGGCTGTGCTGTGTGGTTCTGCACTGTTCTCAGGGGGTATGTCTTTGGCAGGGTCCCTTGCCTCGCTCTGCTGCAGTGCTGGAGAATGGTGTTAAAGAGCCTAGCGAAATTAGATTTTTTCTGCTCTTTTTTTGTATTTGGATGAAATTACTAGTCTCATTTTTCTTCTCAGTGACTGTCATTGATCATATTGAGATGGAGCGGTCTTTTTGTCAGCAGCAACACAGTGTATACTGACAAGGAGATGGATATCTCCGGTATTTGTATACATATTGAGCATTATAATAAGCCTATCACTTATAACGGCAAGAAATTTACAAAGTCACAACCAGAAAATAGCAGTCTTTTTTCTAGCTATTGCATTGCCATTTGTTTGACCAGATGCAACATAAATAGACCTTAAGAAAAAGACCAGTGCGAATGTCTGAAGGGAATATGTAAATGACAGCAAACACCCCCCAGTCTTCAATCTCAGATGGTGCATTGGCATCCTGAATGGCCTTCTTCAGTTATTTTGGCTCTTTGAATAACTCCATACAAAGCTGCAGCAGCTACTGTACCTGGTAGAAATCACTTGAATGACTTTCTTTGGCCACTCTGCTATTAATTGATTAACCTTAAAGAAAAACATAGCACACGCATTAATAAAGGAATAAAGTAGATGTTGTCTCCCCAGATTGTTTACAGACCTATGGGAAAAGCTGGTTGTTCAATTTTAGATGTTCATTTACACTTAGTAACAGTCCCCACCAACTTGCCTAATGTAATCTGAAGAACAGAGCTCAGAAAGAGGTTTTCATGTCCTGTGCAAGACTGTGTTGGGAGCTACAGTTTGCAGTCTGTGCTCTGATCTCCCTAGAGAGCTGTTTTCCAAGTTAATGTGCACAGGAAGTGTGACCCTCCAGTGAACTGGGGATACAACCTTCCAGAGAGACAGCTGATTGGTGCTGTGTGAGAAGAGTAAGGAATTAAGGGCGAGGGAGGAGTTCGAGAAGGGCTGATTAAAGCCAGCCTGCTTCAAATTGTAAGCAGCTAGCTGGGTGTCATGGGCTCAAGACCCATGTCAGCTGATTTGAGTGCTGTTGGAATCCAGTTTGGAAGATAGCAGACCTGCATTTGCAGCAGCAAACTTCCTATTCCTTGGAGCAGCATGAAGGTGTGGTCATACTACAGGGTTATGTAGGGGATTATGTACAGGGTTATGGGTTCAAATCGTATGTGGAATGCTGCTTTTGCACACTTGAGCAAGATACTTCTCTCAAGTGCAGTTTGTTCTTAATTGACCTAACTGGTAAAATAAAGGAATAGTATCATATCGTAGGGCCTCCCACGTGACCTGGTAAGGGTTGGTAGAGGCCCGGGTTAGCTGACTGAGTGGGATGCCCCGAGCAGCGGTGCACCTTTGTCTGTAGGATGCAGTGGGCTGGGGCTCTCTTGCCCTCAATGTGGCATGTGGTCCGGTCATTGTGGAACACACCTCTCCCATGCAGCACTGAATGGCTGGTGATGTTTTAAAAAGACGGGTCTTTCAGAGGTGGGAGGATCAGAGGGGGCTGCCTGCGCTTCCTTAGTCTTCCCCGTGTGCAGTTGCAGGGTTTGTAGGTCTGAGCCGAGAAGTGAAAAACAAAACAACTGGTTTCAGATTTGCTAGGAATAACAGAAATAATGTCTCGTCAAATCATTTCTTTGTGATCGCGCACAGATTTTGCTGCCATGGTTGTAAAGACATTTGTCTGGCTTCAGCAGGTCACCTGCACCTCCAGATTTAAGCACAGCCAGCACTGCCAACGACAAACCCCTAAAAGGGAAGTTTCACAGCATCTTGGGTTTCAGGTTGTCCAATTTCTTCTTTCCCGAGCCTCCCAGAATTTGGCCTCCCCCTAGTCTTTCAGCATTGTTTTTCACCTACTTCCCGCGCCCCCACAGGCAGTCTTTCAGATTAGGGTGGAGCCAGGCTGTCTCTTTTGAGGCAGGTCTGCCTTCAGAGGACCCACTAGATGTGTCTTCTGCTCTTTTGCTCTGTCCTGAATCCCTCTTTGGGAATCTGGACGGATGTGGCCGTAAGTGGTTTGTGTGCCAGTAATTGGGGATGAAAGTATGGCACAAATCTGACAATGAGGATAGGAGGTGCTGTGAAGGCTCTTCCCCAGGCTGCTGTTCACCCTCCCTCCACCTGGTGTCAGTGTGTCGTCTGCTCGCATCTTAATGTCGGAGCTGCTGTCTGTGTCTTCTGTACCCTGTGTTTGTGCGTGCCCCTTGCCCACTCTCCTGTGTCTGGTTGATTCTGTGTTTCAGAAAAGGATTGTGGGGACGGCTCTGATGAAATGAATTGTCCCATCCCTACCGGTTAGTGCATAGATCAACATGCACCATCCCACACTGCTCCGGGCTGAGCTCATAGGCTGGGAAAAGGAGGGTGGGGGGGCTGCTTCTAAAACCTAATGGCAGCTTGGGCTTCACAACAATTATTGATCAATTTATTATTTTCAAGCTGGATGGTAGACTGCTTTTTCTCAGCTTTTTTTGGGAGGAGAACCAAATAATTTCAATAATAATGAGTAGGCTTCCATTTTATAGAGCTAAACAGTTAAACATTCAGCTGAGCTAGAATGTATTGTATTGATCCATTATTTGGAGACTGTTTTAAATTGGGAAATTTTGTTGGGGAAAAAAATGGCATTCGATTTTGGATTATACAGTACGTGCAAACAAACCCTCTAGTTTTGCCTAGTTTTTTCCCCACAAACCCTAGCTCTCCCTTGTAGGACTAGGCAATTAGAAATTCAGTTTGCCTTCGAAAAGGAACCTTCTCTTTGGTTTGCCGTTTTCGGAGGTGGTGTATGCCCTAGTTAATTTGGATTTCTTAATGTCAAGTCAAAACAGAATAAAACTACTCTGGCATTTAAAGCAAGTCTGAACAGACCCAGGTGTAAAGGGTTAATCTCTTGTACACAAAAAAGTGTTTGCAAAAATTCAGGCTTTCTGGGGTTGCGTTTTAATCCAGCAACGGCAGTTATCAGTGCCTCTGGTGCCGAATAAAGGCACTTTGCTGTCTTTTTAGTGAGTGATCTCCCTCAGATGTACTAAATCTATTATTTTGCCTTCTGAAGCATAGCTTCTGTGTGCATTTCTTTTGCTTTTCATTTAATTTTTGTTGCTGCCAAGCTCAATGTATCGGACCCAGGTACATTCTCTCATGGTGCATGGGATGATCTATGCAGTTTCTGTGATATTTTTCTCTCTTTCTCTCTGCTTTTAAATGTACGGTCTGTTTTTTGCACTCCTGCAGGTTGTAAGTTGGGGTTTATTTAAAAAGAAAGAAAACAAGACGCTGCTTTAACTGCTTCTGTGATTAAAGACTAAAGGCTAAACAGTATCTGCTTGGTAAACCCAAAACTGCTCTGATAGCTGTTTGAGCTCAATGTGCCATTTGATTACAAGTAAAAACGTTTCGCTCAGGGGTTCTTAGGAAAATGCAGGAGAATGGAATAGACATTTGGAATAAAATACAGTGCAGGTCAGAACAGAATGGACGTTTCCATATTGCACACTGCCAGTAGAGTTCAGGGCATGGTCCAAATCTGCAGAGCTGGTAAAAGGAGTCAGTCAGTCCCAGCTGAATTGTGAAGTGGCTTAGTTTAGCTACTGAGACCTGTGGAGCTCACTTTCGAATGAGACATTTTTCTAGAGGATATTTACTAAGGAGAACTAATATATATCACACATTAATGTAAAACCACATACCCCATAGACCATAGAACACATGCATACAGTATATGCTCTGTATCCGCCTCCTTGGCAAAATCGCAGTTAGGGAATTCTGGGATTAGCGAATGGGCTGCAGGAGTGCTTTCACAGTGCAAGGCAGGGCTTGAACCGATTTGCCCCAAGTGGGCGGCGGGCAGCTCGGTGGAGCCGTGCCCTGCGGCGTGGATGCCGTGTGCTGTAACGGCGGCTGTGTTGCAGATAACGACTGCGGCGATAACAGCGATGAGGCAGGCTGCAGCCACTCCTGCTCCAGCGCCCAGTTCAAGTGCAACAGCGGGCGCTGCATCCCCGAGCACTGGACCTGCGACGGCGACAACGACTGCGGGGACTACAGCGACGAGACCCACGCCAACTGCACCAACCAGGGTGAGAGCTTGGCTGGACCCATCTTGAACGTCTTGCAGTCTCTGGGCCCGGGCCCGGTTTCACAGGGGTGCAGAATGCATAGCTAGGAGAAAAGAGCCGACATTTAATTTAGAAAAAAATGTGATTTTGTTTATTGGCAAAAGACTTTGGTCAGTGGTTGGCACTGCTGCCTCGCGGAGCTGGGGCCCTGGGTTCAATTCTGGATCTGGGGTGCTGTCTGTGTGGAGTTTGCATGTTCTCCCCATGTTCACATGGATTTCCTCCAGGTGCTCCAGTTTCCTCCCACAGTCCAGAGACATGCTGGTAGGTGAATTGGCTTCTGGGAAAATTGGCCCTGGTGTGAGTGTGTGTGTGTGTCTGTGTGTACCCTGGACTAGTGCCCTGTCCAGAGTGCGTCCTGGCTTGTCCCAGTTGCTTGCGGGTATACCCTCCGGCTCCCTCACAAATATGATAAAGTAATTAGAAAATAGATTAATGGAGCTAAACAGCTTAATAAGAGATCTGAACACCTGGTTGAGAGGTCTTCTGGGCAGCCCACCCAGTAAACAAACTCTCTGGGAGCACTGGCTGAACTCTATGGCCCAGACACCACAATTCAAGCCCAAGTCACATCAAAGAGAGGCTGTGACTGGGGTTCCCCAAGTTGTGGTGCTCACCAGTGAAGAGAGGTAGAGATGGGATTGTTCAACAAGGACTCCCTTGGACTTGCCTGGTGCCTGCGGTGACATCATCGAGCGACAGGCTGCTCCCCCAGTAGGAGCTGTCAGGCGCTGTGAACCCCTCAACTCTGCAGGTGGACACTCCCGTGTGTTGGAGATGAGGGCCTGCTTGTCCTGTTCTTTTCTCAGTCCGCAAGCTGGTACCGGGCTTGTTGTTGGAGAGCCAAGTCTGGAAATAATTGGAGATTCAGAATCAGAATTTCAAAATGTTTCAGCTTGCTTTCTCATTAATAGTTCTAATTAAAAAGCAGATGTGAAGACAGTTAGAGACATCAGAATTAAACACTGAAAGCCGTGAACTGTTAAGAACCATTGACCTTTATAGCTGTGGGCAAAAATGTAGATCCTGTTTTCAATCTAGGACATCTAAAACTCACTCTGGCCTCATTCCAGCACTTCAGAATATTTGAGTGTTTTAGTTGCACTGTTTTAGCTTTTCCGTCTTCTTTCTTTGCGGTCGGAGAGACTTGTGTGGGATCTGAAAATAAACGCTGGCGGTAAAAGCAAACAAACGGGCACCCCCCCTCCCCTTTCTCTGCTTCCCCGAGCTGCCCCCTCCTGCACGGCGGAGTCACCCCACATCCTGCCCGCGCCGCCCGGCTCCTCTGGCCCGCAGAGGGGCCGAGTCAGAGCCTGCGGTTTCCAGGAGGGGTCACGGGAGGCCACTCGGGCAGCGTGCCTGCCACGGGCTTGAAAGACCGTCCTCGTTTTGGGCCCTTAGGGGAATTGTTGATGACTCGGGAGGTTTTGCTGGGTGAACTGACGCTCGGATGACAAGAGGGGGGAGTTTTTGGGCTGGTGCCTGGCCTTTGGCAGTCAGTTCCCCTCTGCTGAGTCCCAGCCAGTGCCTCATGTCAGGTCCCACACATGGGCACATGCTTATCTATCACCTCTAGCTGTGTCAGCCTGTAAAGATAAACTTCATTGTCTCCTAGGGGAAAGTTGTTATGGACACATAGTGCTTCTGTACATCTAAATACATCACATGTATTCCATATGCATAACTTGTTACAACCGAGTCACAACATAGCTTATTACAGCATAATCGGTTTATACTGATACAATTGCATTTACCCCTGCTACTTATTTGTGTTGGTTGCTTAAATAAAAAGGGAGCGAATGAATATTTGTATATATTTGATCTACATTTGGGAACCCTAAAGATAAATCTGTTGATCTCGCTGCTCTTTCATTCACTTGATATTGTGAACTTGTCAAGTTAGTGTGAGAATGCCTTTGTCACAGTCAGATCTAAATCATTCTCCTCTTCCTTTATTCGTAGGCTGTGTAGCTTAATGGCTATATTATTTTCAAAGAGCTCTAAGACTGATTTACCCTCTGTGACAGTCTGATGGGCGTGTCGTAATGGGGTTTTTAAAACAGGCAGGTCCCAGGATAACAGGCACAACAAACACTGCCGTAAGGCAAAAGGAAACAGTGCTCTTTATTTACAGTGTGGAAAATCAAAAACGGTCACCACAACCAAAACAAAAGGCACAGCTCTTTTCTAAACTCCAGACAAAACTGCTACATGATGTCCCTGACTATCACGGTTGGGAAGCTACACTTGCTTACAAGCTTCAAAACAATCACAGCACCTCAGTCTCTCCCCGAGACTGGGCAGCTGTAACTCGCTCGTCTCCGCAGAAGACGATGGACCGCACGGAAGCACAAGGAAGGCAGACATGGATCTGTGGAATTAATTTGATCCCGCAGAGCATTTTCCCATCATCTCCCAATAGCAATTCCAGCATTGTCGTTGTCAGTATTTACTGTAGTTCAGCGTTTTGTTCAAAATCTTCAGAAGAAGTTTTTTACAGGTTGGTGGGGCACAGGGAATAACTGATGAGACCTGATTCAGGTCTAGGGGCACCAGTGTATCTCTCTAGGCAGTGGGGTTTTTCAAAGTTGGTCCTCGTTGGCCCAGGAGTCCAGTCCATTAGTGAGTGTCTGACACCACTGTAACACTATTGTACAGTAAGTCTTCTCTGCTGGTAGTGTGTGTATTCCTTGTTGTGTTGTCCTACCGGACTGTGCAGTCAGACGGATCTCCCCCTGGGGATCGTGAATCCCTGGCTCTCTTCCCGGGGGAGGTAACGGTGCGTGATCTCTGCCCCCGCCCTAGCCACGCGGCCCCCGGGCGGCTGCCACATCGACGAGTTCCAGTGCCGCATGGACGGGCTGTGCATCCCCATGCGCTGGCGCTGCGACGGCGACACCGACTGCATGGACCTGAGCGACGAGAAGAACTGCGAGGGCGTGACGCACATGTGCGACCCCGCCGTCAAGTTCGGCTGCAGGGACTCCGGTGAGTACGGGGGGCCCGGCGGGAGGGGGGGGCCCGCTGCTCCAGCCGTGCCGGATGGGGGGGTCCTACAGTAACGTCCTGCATCCTGCAGCGCGCTGCATCAGCAAGGCCTGGGTGTGTGACGGGGACAGCGACTGCGAGGACAACTCCGACGAGGAGAACTGCGACCCCATGATGTGCAAGCTCTCCTCCCACGTCTGCGCCAACGACTCGTCCATCTGCCTGCCCGCCGAGAAGCTGTGCGACGGCAAGGACGACTGCCCTGACGGCTCCGACGAGGGGGAACTGTGCGGTACGAGGGCGCAACCCCTGCTTATCTTTCCAAACCCACTTTCTTGAAAATATTCAGACCGCAAATCAGGTTTGAAGACGCCTTTCTAGAGAGAGGTTTGTTGCATCAAAAGACCACATGCAGTGAATGAGAACAGGAGATGGGTCTCATTTGCAAGCTGCCTTGCTTGAACATGCAATGCTTGATGTAGTTTAAAGATCTAAGTGCCCCATCTGGTTGTGATTTTGCAGGAAGTCAACTTCCAACGTGTTTCAGTCACCTGCACAGCTCCTGTGTAAAGACAGCAGTGACAGTTTTCAGTCTTAAATGTCCTTTGTCTTGATTTTTGCTTGGACCCAGGACTTTGGGCTTCTGCCTGGTCCCCTTGTAACTTTCCCTGTCCGAGACTACAGACGCCATGCTGTAGCAGCAGTGTTAACTCCTCAGTCTTGGTGAACGTGGTAGATATACTCCCAGCAAGTTCTGGAGCCCCGTTCCTCTCTGACTCTCCTCCCCTCTCGCTCACAGACCTGTGTGCTCTGGGGAACGGGGGCTGCAGCCACAACTGCACGGTGGCACCAGGAGAGGGGATCTCCTGCTCGTGCCCGCTGGGCATGGAACTCGAGGCCGACAACAAGACCTGCCAGATCCAGAGCTTCTGCGCCAAGCACCTGAAGTGCAGCCAGCGCTGCCAGCAGGAGAAGTACCTCGTCATGTGCTCCTGCTATGAGGGCTGGGAACTGGAGCCGGATAAGGAGAGCTGTCGGAGCACAGGTCAGGAGGGATGTGGGTGGCCCAATCGGAGGGAGGCAGGCTGGGAAGAGAAGAATGTGGGACACTGAGGACAGGGAGACTGGGAAGAGAGGAAAGTGGGACAGGGAGACTGGGAAGAGAGGAATGTGGGGGTCTAGGAAGAGGAGAATGTGGGATAGTGAGGAGCGGGAAACTGGACAGAGAGGAATGTGGGATAGTGAAGATAGAGGAATGGGACTGGGAAGAGAAGAATGTGGGATAAAGAGGACAGAGGGAGACTGGGAAGAGAGGAATGGGACTGGGAAGAGAAGAATGTGGGATAAAGAGGACAGAGGGAGACTGGGAAGAGAGGAATGGGATAATGAGGGCAGAGGGAGACTGGGAAGAGAGGAATTAGGTGGAATGAGGAATGTGGGAGAGAAAGGTGATGGGAATAGGAAGTAAAGGCAGGCAAGGAATGTGGAAGGAGGGATGAGAAGGAGAAGAGAGGGTTTGGAGAGGGCAATGAGGTGCAGGGGAGGGCTGATCAGTGCAGAGCGAGGGATCTGAATGGAAGAGGAATAGAAAAGAAAAAGTTGGGAATGGGCTAGGGTTTGATGGGAAATGCCTGTGGAAGAAGGAAAATAGATATTTTAGAAAGCAGGACTGTGGTAAAGACGCGGAGAGGGAATGAGAAGAAAGCAGGGAGCAAGGGATTTGCAACAGGAGGTGATGAGAAAGGAGGATGAGGGGAGGGTTGGGAGGAACAGGAGTGCTGAGAGGGAAAGGGGCGATGGGGGGAGATGGAATAGGGAACAAAATGGAGAGCAGGGAAGACCGGATCTGCCCATGAAAGCTGAGATGACAGGATGGGGGTGTTGAAGTGATTGGAACGCAGAGGGATGTGAGAAAGGAATGCTAATGGCCAGAAACAGGAGAACACGGCAGGATTCCTCACTGTTTGCTCAGGAGCAGAGTTTGATCTTCATTTGCAGATTGTTAATTCTTAACATTTTAAGTTGCCAATCAAGTCCGAAACAATATAGAGAGCAGTAACAAAATGCATGTTTTTAATTTTAGGGTCATTTGAAGAATTGAAATGTGCTCTGTTTGGAGAAAAGGCAAATAAGGAGGAGCTTTTTTGGCAGAGTGCAGAGAGTTGGCCCCCAGCTCCCCTTCCAATACATTTTTCCCTTAAAACTGAAAATTGGAGTAGAAGCATTTCTCCTGAACGTGTCCTGGTCCTGGGATTTGTAGGCCCCTCGCTTTCTTGGTTGCCTGCTCCTGGCTCCCCCCCCCTGCAGTTCGAGGGGATAAAGCCGTGAGGTTCTCAGAGGGGGGATCTCTTCCAGCAGGCTGGGCCTGAGCCAGAGTGAAATTAACTCCATGTGTGAGACAGGGCGCAGGAGCAGGACGCTTGCACACTCTATACAGTATCAACACACAGGCTCATACATGTCATATATGTCATATACATGTCTCATATATTTCACCTACAGGCTCGTACTATACATCATCACACACTCATCGACACACCCTGACATACAGTAATATGGACACACTCATATACTGTCATAATGGATAGGTAAAGACTTGTTGGGAGACTCTTATTGACACACACTTGGCCTGCTGTGCTGATGCACAAATCTCAG